TAGGGAAAGTCAATCATATGAAAGATGGTTAGACATGGTTTGTGGGGTATGACATAACTAGTCTTGTAGGTAGATTAGTGTTCTGTGTTCAAGCGGATTGTTGAAGGGTTAGAGGAGAATGTGTAGTTAATTGGGTTTGATCATGTTGAGGGGTCACGTCTAAAATGGACAAAGGTAATAAATACAATGGATTGAAAAGGATTTGAATAAGTTGTTTGTTATGGAGAGAAGTTCAAAGGGGGAAAAGTCTGTTTGAAACTTAACATCTCGTGAGACAAAAAATTGGTTGGAGGCGAGATCAGAGTTTATAACCCTTGTAACCAAGGGGGTACCCTATCAAAAATGTTGGAATGACCTTCAAAGATATTTTTTGGTCTTTTATCGGGAATTATGGTAGCATGACATAGGAAACCAAATACCTGAAAGGCTGCGTAATTTGGCAACTTGTTGTATAAACTTAAGTTCTCAGGGTCAAACATTCTTAATAGAGGAAGAAGGAACTACTTTGTTAATCGACAGATATGATCGCACATTCACCCCAAAAATGAATTGAAACATCGTGGACCAAGCAGCATTCAGCATAAGTGTTGGTGTTCGCATTCTACAAAATATAATAAATTAATAAGCTTTCTTATTAAAAATTAATTAATAAGTGATGGATATTCAGCTTGTTAAAAATTAACTGATTAAACACTTTCTTATTTTATAAGGTAGTAAATTCGACTAATTTAGCCATGATATTTGTTATTTTAAATTTTGAATTAGCTACGTACGGCATGGCATCGAATCAAAAATAGAAACTACAGATCAAACTCAAGTTCAAGACAAAATGTTCAAACCTGAAATGGCTTCCAACAAATCAAAATAGAATCAGATGTTAGTTACAGACAATAAATCGAGTAACACGAGAGATGGTTTACCAACTAAATTATTTAACACTGGTCCAAGGCTTTAAAACTCAAGTATGATGATGATAGAGGTTCAATCCTCTAATTTATTTATTCTTCTGTCGTTATCCAAGTACTTGTACACCTAACTAACCTCCATATCAAGCCATATACATAGCTAAGGAACATTAAGAATAATTTAAGTTCCCTAATCTGTACTTTCTAGTGACTTCCAAGTCTAATATCTTGGCTTGAATTTTGAGGAATTATCCCCCTTTAGTTCAACTGTATATCACATTTCCCATTTTCCCTATCTACTTCATGATTCATGTCATATAGCGCATTTCCTATTACAATTAGCAATAACAATTTTCCTAGGGGTAAAAGGCGTACATGCTACTTTGAAAAGATGCCCCTTCCACCAAGTCCACACTATAAACAATTTACCAATACATTAACGTCTGATCAGCTATCCCACCGTCTGCGCTTGAGTATGCACAAATGCACATTATAGACAGTATCCAAAATAATTAAAACAAATCAAGATTGAAAAAAGTTGGCCAAAAATCATTTTAAAAGCTGTGTATATATATGGAACGTTTACAAAATTCAGCCAATTTCCTATAGCTAAGTTTACACATGCATAACATGCTCAGACAATAAATTGCAACCTAAAAAGCGATGAACTAATCATATCTATAATGCAACTTGCCATCATAGAATCCTATCAAACTGGTAAATTCTGCACTCTCAAGTGCTTATACTTTTGTTCTTTGTTGAATCTTTTTGCACTCTCAACCAAACCTTTAGTTAGAAGGAACTTCAAGACATCAACCCCCTCTTGCAAAGCCTCATCAATCTGTCCAACAAGAAAACAAGAAGCAACACTGACATGATGTCATGATGATCTTTATAAGTTATAACATCCCCATTTTCAATATGGTGCATTAGCATGATGTAAAAACATGTAATAGTAATTGCTTATGAAATCTGCTACACTATAGAAGTAGGATAGTGCGCCTCACGGTAGTGCTCTACTGCCTCTACTCACATCGCATGGTATTAATAACTATGGCCCTATTGTAAAAAATTTGCCGTGAATTTTTCTGGATCAGTATATTCATATTAAGTCATTAGAAAGCCACCTAAATGGAAACTATTAGCATGGTTTTATGACATTGAACTAACGTGGCAAGTAACTGCTATCGTATTTGGCATTTGTCACAGTACGGCCACACATCATCCCCTCTTGGCACCACATCACCACAATAGCAACTCATTACTTTCCGTTATTTAAATTGCCAATAATAATTGGATTCAGGTTGCACTGAGTAGATAACATGAGGAGCGCCATTGCACTTTGAAGAACCATGAAAACCAAATTGAAACTACACGAGGAACCGAAAGTATATTGAGCAGTAAACCAAGAACTTACTCGTTGTCTAGCAGTTACATTAAACTTTTGAAGCAAAAATGCTTTAGGATCCATTTGCCCAGGAGGACTCCCAATCCCTAACGACAAAGCAAATTGAAAATAAATGACAGTAATAATCAAAACTAGGAGAACAGCAAAGGATCTGCCACAAAAGTACCAACCAATTCTCAGCCTAGGAAATTCTCTATTTCCTCTGAAGTGATAGATCACACTCTTTAGCCTGGTTCATTGAAAAGAGAGGACAAAGTATAAGACGAGTAGCAGTACTAAAGAAGCACTTGACATTAAAAAATTAGAATTCAGAGCTAAAGATTTCATGAACTCATTTTCCATCACCACTCATCCCTTAAACAATATTATTGAATTATAAACCCTGGCTTCTTTACATCAGTCACTTCATAAATTTGATTTTCCTTTACCTAAAATAGTGAAGCATTACAAATATTACAACAGATGGCAAGTGAAAATGTATCGAATAATGGTGAAGCTATATATCCATCCACTATGAATATATAAAGAAAAACTAAGAAAGACTAGATGATTAGGTTTCTATACAAAGTAAAATTACTAATGGAGTGTTCATTTACTGAAACAGCCATAAGTCATCCACTATTTAGAGCAGATACAAATTTCTCATTAACAAGGTTCTTGATATGAAATATTCTCTCGCTGTATGCATTTTCCAACATTTAGATTCCAAATAACCACAATTGAAGTTAAGGATAACTACTCATTGGTCCATGCATTGAAGCTTGCTTATTAAAACTCAAATCACTGAAATCAGAAATAGAATTGAAATAATATAACATTGCAATCATTATTTTTTTCAATACTTTTAATGAACAAAGAAGATATTTTCCACAGTTTCCATAAGCAATTGGATAGCAACAATAAATGTCAGGATAAACTGTTTTTAAATTCCAGATAAACTGGAACATGCCTTTGAGAATTTAGTTATGGGCATAAAACTTGCAGGAGGCTGGTATGAAGAGTGGAAGGTGAGGGACCAAAATACCTAGCAGTAAGTACCACAAACAACCCTAACTGTTAGGACCAAAACCAAAACTTTTCAGTATCAACTGTTATCCCTACATTCAAATGCATGTGTTAAATAAGTAACTTTCATGATTGACTCATCAGTAACTGATTTCTCTTCTTTCTGGTCTATTCCCCACTGTAATGCAGATAGCCTAGCAAAACAGATTTATGATAATTTTGTACAAAGGATGAGAATCCAAAAAACAGAAAAAAAAAAAAAAAAAAAAAAAAAAAAAAAAAAAAAAAAAAAAAAAAACCTGAAATGGTAATACAATACTTTAGGAAAAGACCTTAATCTGAAGTGCATAAAAAGGATTGCAAAATGCTTGATTAGGCAACAATTAAACAATTAAATGGGACAGCCAAATATATAATCAACATGTTACAGCAGTACAAGCACAAGATACCTTTCATTATGAGAAAGAAAAACAAAACAAAATTGCATGATAGAATAAATGAAAAGGATGAACTGTTCAGAATAAGATGTGAAACACAATCTGAAATATGTATGATAGGCCCATTATGCAAGTATATAGAAGGAGGAGTAAGAAGGTGTAAGAAAAGGAAAGTGGGCTGAGGGGATATGAGAGGAGAAGGGAAAATGTGACACTGAGGAGGGGCTGGGAGGAGAAGAGAAAGGGAATAATAGAATGGACCAGTGTCAAGGAGAGAATGGAGGAGGGATGCAGAAAAACGGGAAAGAGAAAGAGGATGATTATTTAGTGCAAGGTGTAACCAGATAGAGAGAATGAGAGAATTTCCTAAGGGTCATGACTCATGTTGGGTTTGTTTTTTAGTCTGAGAAGAGGAACTAGTCATTTCTCAGTCACTGGGTGTTACCGTTTCTTTTTTATCCTAGTTATTTTTTTCCATCTTGTAAGTTGTAAGGAGCTTGCTCCATTCCACTGTCATTTGTTTTCTGTAGTTTCTGCTAATATACTGTAACAGAGGGTTCCTCCTCTGGTTGTAAGGGGATCCTTCGATAAATATTTGTTTTTTTTTTCAATCTATATCTAGTTCCTACCAAAGTATGATTGAGGGGAAAAAGTTTATAAGTAATGAGATTTCCCCTCCTCAAACCACAAACCAAGATGCAACCCAATAAGGACTCTTAAATATCCATATAATTTTATGAGATTGAAAAGTCATTAATATCTGGCTTACTACACCTTCCTAGTTTGTCCGCATCTTTTCATTACAACAAATGGTAGAATTGACTTCCAAAGTGATGGTTATTGGCTTATGACTCCAATAACATCTCCATGTAAATTTCAACATAGATATTTATTGGGTTCTGGAATTAGTGAATTACATAATTTAATGATGCGTGATAAACACCATAATATCTCTAGAGTAGGTACTTGAATTATAAAACAATTTTCTTTTGGTTATTGTCAAAAAAATAAAACAACTTAAGAACGGAGACAATATTAATTTTTCTTCTAATTATTGATTATCATTTAGTGTTGTACCCTTTGTGGCTACCATGACCCCCTTTGTCGTGAAGACGAAGCACCCCACATGGCAAGTTCATGTCATCATGGAACTGAAACCAAAGATACCGTCAAATAAAGAACACCACACCTATCATTGATTAGATACTATAAAGGAAAGGTTGGAATAACTCACCACAAGCACCTGAGTAAGAGGTAGCTTGTAATAAGCAGCCAGCGGTCCTGTCTGCAGTAAAATTAAGAGTCATAGAATGACAAATTGATAATAAGCACAAGGTTTAATATGTAAACAAAACATCAACAGCACGAGCAAAAAGAAACCAGATGCATGCTACCTTAAAGATAGAAACCCTTCCATGGAACCAATATTAGTAAATTACCTTACCCCAACAAAAAATCAGCACTTCAAATCAAATTAAACCAGTAAAAGCAGAAAGGAAAGATGTTAGCAATCAGCCATGATGACTGTTTTTGAACCCTTAATTATTTATAATAGAACTATCCATTAATTTCTTGTTCCTCTGGATTCGGTAAGGACCTCTATTTGACAAAAGAATTATAAATCCAAAGGAGATTTGTAAAAAATTCTTAATTCATTTTTTTCCACAATATATATAACCTCACTCTACCACGTATGAAAAGATTTTATAAAAAAAAGAAGTAAATCCACATATGTGAAGAAACACAGGAAGTAAAATACACTATATGAAGCCACAAAAACCTACGGGAGAAAGCAGGAAACCATCACAACTTCCCCCAACACTCTCCCAGGAAACCCCCTGCACAAAACATTTGCAATGAAAGGGATTATCTAATACTAACATGACACTAAAACACACCAAGACAATTCTTCAAAATAACCTAAACAATTCTTCTAATATTTTAAACCCTCCATAATTTACTGCTGCAACTAATCTTAGAAGTTCTTTTTCTACCTGAAATCTTTGTAATATAGGTGTTTGGAGAAAATATCATCTTTGGAAGTGCTCAAAGTCCCCTAGCAGAAATAGTTTCCTCACCCATTACCCTCTCACTTTGTCCAAAAGGTTTCACCTATTCAACATCTGGGCAAAGCATTATTTCCTTTCCACTGTGGAATCTTGACAGCTTAAACACAACATACTAAATAATTTACAATCACTCATTTTATCTGAAAAATTCCAAACAGACATAATACAGATTTAGTCGCTGAATAAAAGACCTCCACCGATATCTCAAGATAGGTACATTTCATAAAGAGTAAAAAAGGAGTAAAAGAACAACATTCCTTACATATAGAATAGAACCTATTTCATGCATTGTTATCTATATTCCACAAACATGATAATAGCAAGAAGCCTATAGGTTGATTCTCCACAGCACATAAAAAAAGAGGACATGGATGCCAAAGAGCAGCAAGGAAGATACATTTTACAATAAATATGAAGAGTAAGAACTAAATAACCAATTTGAAGATATGAAGGACATGAGGAACACACACATTGCACCCAAATAATTATGTCAGGGTAAGACATTCAGAATTGGGACTTGAGGAAAAATTGTAAACACCATTGGTAAATATGAATACATGAAAACAAGTTAATAAATGTGACATCCACTAGAAAAATAAATATTATGATGTATAAATATGGGAGAATAACGTTCTTAAATTTAAAATCTTTCTTGATTGCTACATACTACAAAGAAATAGACTCTTCTTAAGCTCTAAATTGACAACCAAAGTAGTCTATGATTGATCCATAATTTATAAGGATGGCAATCAGTCATCAAATAATCAAGGTCCGCCAAGAGGACAATTTGATTTCAAGATTGCCAGAATCACCACCAACTAGCTACAACTTCCTAGTTTTCAATACTTAGGCTTTATCAGTCTAGAAATATTATAGGTGCATTTGGATATACAGATTAAGCAGTTATTTAATAATATTATAACACGAGAGATTAAATAATAAGCTTAACAGAGAAGCTTACTGAATTAAGCAGGAAAGAGCTTATTTTGATAAGCTTCAGCTTGAAGCTGATAGAAATAAGCTAAAAAGAGCTTATTGAGACTCAAATAAGCTCTATATAAGCTCCTCCAAACACCTTTATATTTAAATTGAGAAGAAACTTTTAAGTTAAACATCATCTACTCCATATCAGCACTGAAAACCACTGTACATGCTCAGTTATTCCCCTAGCAGACATTGTCAACTTCAAGATTTTCCCATCAGTAGTCATAATATTAAAACATATGAACTTTCAATTTTTAAATGTTTGCAGTTATTGGTACAATTTAACCTCAAACAATGCCAAACAATAAGAGTAAAGTTCAATGTACCAGAAAAGCCACCCTCAAAGTAGGTTATTCATTAATGACTTAAGCAGCTGAGTGTATAATCAAAGGAACTCATAGGTTAAGACATTTTTTCCAGCAGCAAGTGACAGAAAAGATAAAGACAGCACAACTTGTAGAAACTAAAGTAAAACATCTAGATGGATAAGAGAAAAAAGAAAATGCAGCACATCTTAATTCCTCACCGATTCCCCACTCAGATTCATGTAAGTTTGAGGCTTTGCAAGGAAAACAGGAACTTCGCCAACAAAACCTGTAACAAACCACCTTGCCTAAATTTCATGAATCTCAACAAAAATGGATAGAGGAATATAAAATAGAGAAGACAAACCTTTACCAAAAATGGCTTTGGAATGGACAGTGTCCATAGGAATCCCCTGCGACTCAGCAAATGCATCAATCATGTCAAAGCCAACCTGATACGTTCAGACAAAAACATGAGGAAATTGCTAATTCACACACTATGACCCCTTTACACTAGAGAACACTTGCTATGCAATTTGAGTGATGATAACTAAACTTGCAACTTTAAACTAACTCCTAACAAACCAGTAATGCAAGATAAAAGGGTAAAAATAATAGAAAGGGTACATTGTGCCTGGTTCCTTTGTACTTGTCGCCAGGGTTGCCCAACCCCACAAAAAGCCAAGGGCGTGGAGCAATGGTGCAAAAGCAACGCGTGCTTAACCTATTAAGCATATCCTCTGCTACCAAGGTCGGAGAAAAAAATTCAAATTAGAGTTTCATTGGTGAACGAAAGTTGAATATGCAGTGGTAATTACCTAGCTTAGCTTAGCTTAGCTATCACCGTTGTATCTCTCTATCTATCCCCATCGTCACGATCACTAATCGTTCAATCACTTCTATTGGGTATCGGATTTTTAAATACCTGCAAAAATAAACCACAACCTTGGCTTCCCCTGGTTTAATATATACAACTAGAACCAGAAATCATGAACCTGTGTTCACATGGACTACAGGACAAGACAGAAAAATAAATAAATTCCTTTATAATTTAAATTAGTTTATTTGTAAGCTCAGTAAATATCATAGAATTTAGTTCTCATAAAATAGTCAATTGATAAAGGAAATTAAAATTGTATAATTTTAAAAATAAAGAAACTAAAATTACATAAATAATTTTTTTTTTATTTTAATTTTATCGATTCCTGACTTGTAGTCATACACTTGTTCCTTTTATCCACCTTTACCATATTGAGTTGTGAAATTTTGTAAATCATTTATCAGATGTAAATATATTCTCAAATAATTAAAATAATCAATCTTATTTATATGATGAATATATTTTTATATGGAGTTTCAGTTTTGATCTCAAAATATGCAAATAAGTTATGAAATAAACAAACCCATGAATTGGAAAAATTATACCAAATGTCTTCCAAAATCCATAGGCAAGCTCCAGAACTTGGAGACCTTGGATGCTCGACAATTACCTTCCCATAATTTATGCCGAAAAGGTGATAGAAAAGACGATTACTCTACTAACTGTAGGCCAATTTACTCATAAACCAGCAAGAAAGACCAAAATTCTTAACGCAAACTACATAAAAAGAATTTCCTTTGGCAATGGCAAAATACATCAACATGAACATATAAACTAACAGTACAATTGTAGCTATTTGCACTAGATCTAGGACACTATTTATTTTTGGATAGTAGCTCATTGTGTATAGGAGGGAGAATAAAGAAATAGATGATGAGGCATCAGCTTGGAATAAGCCAGGGAAAAAGCATTTCTAATAGCTTGGAATAGGGTTTAGCATTATTTATTTTGGATAATAGCTTGGAATAAGCCAGGCGGTTAGGGAGGGAGTGAAAATGGAAGAAAACGAAGGAAATTTGAAGGGATAAACAAAAGAGAGAAAGGAATAGGGTTACCTATCAAATGATCGAAAGCAAAGGCGAGGAAATCCAGAGGGAAATGTAATAAATTAAGCAGCTGTCAAAAAATTCACAATTTGAGCATGGTAATAGTAATTTATACTAATTTTTTACTCTTATAAATTATAATTTTCCTCTTTTTTTTTAATTCTACACTAAAATTACCCACACTTGTCAATTAATTGTTCACTATTTTTCTTTTTTTAGTTTTTTTTTTAGAAAAATGAGAGATGAGAGATACACGGCATTTTCTTTGACGTATAAATTCAGTAGAATTTGGAAAGTTTGATATTAATGAATCTATCTCATAAATGTGGGAAAGCACCTCACGAAACTTCAGGCCTTTAGCTATGTTGTCATTGTGGCGTTAAATGGAGACATGGAGTATTGAAAATGTAAACCTTGACTATGGAAGTCAGGAAGTGGTTTGCCAGACTTCCTAGTCAGTGGATAGCAGAAACGGCCATTTCTTCAATTCCGGGAACATCATATGACAATCAACTTTTTGTCAAAGATTTCATAAAATCAAATGTTTACACGAGTGAATTCACATTGGAATGTGCAAAAGCAATAGGAGGAAGGTAGGAATGTACATGTAAACGAAATTACAACAAGATTAAAAAATAAAAATGCCCATCTTTAGATTTTCCTGTTTCGGGGAAGAAAACCCTTCAAAAGTTATTAAGCCACCACTACATGGTGCTAAATTTTCTAAAATCTGATATATGCCTACGAAACTTGTCCTTTTCCAACCTCCTGTTTCATGTGCAATCTTCAGCTATCACCGATCCTTGCACGTGCTTCTCTACATCTACGCCTCCTACCAGAACGACCCAATAAAACTCTGCCACCACCATGGCGGTGGAGACGGCTAACCAAAGATACACCACCATCATTACCATCATTATCATTGTCTTCATCCGAGATATCCAGCACACCAGCCACATTCTGACCTGCTACCCTGTTGGGAGTCAGCTCAGGCCTCAACCGTCTACCAATGCTGTTAAGCTCATTTCCTTGCCGAACTGCATGAAACAGGAGGAAGAGATTCATTGCCTCTATACCCATCTGAAATCTTCCATTTCTTTCTGCATTGCCTGCACCTTCCTCTTCATCTGTATCAAAGTCATTATGGTGACCTTCTATAACATAATCTCCAAAAACAACTGCCCCAGGCATTGTTGATGTTACTGTGCTGATAACATCTTCCCTTTCACGCTCCCACTCAAGCCATCTCCATTTCTGTTCATGGGCAGGATCCACCATCCGTGGGCGTGCCGAGGGATGCTCTGCCCGCACATGCTTCTTCAACTCCTTATAGTTCCCAACAAATGAGCAGTCATCCTGCATGCAGCCTCTTTTCTTTGCATTCAGGTAGTCCCGGGCAGGTTCCACAACAGTCCAACCTTTCACCTGACCCCTGCATAGAGGACATGCAAGCTCGGTAGCTTCACATTTCTCAGGAAGCAAGTTTGGATCCTGTAGCACACCTGGTGTGCCTTGCATAGGTTGCATATTAGATGAAATTACTTTAGTGTAAGCTTTCTTATACTGATCAAGGCAGTTGGAATGACGAAAGCTAGTTCCACACATATAGGGACGGCAACCCTTGTCATGAGAAGAACAAAGAAGAAGAACAGCATTGTGTGGATATTCCATGCACACAGAACATGTTACGTCCTCTAACTCTTTCTTTTCCAAAGCCTTGGAACATTTCTTTTGGCACATGTCCTCACAAATGTCCCTTTTGCAGGGAACCAGTGGGTATGGATTCACTCTGTATTGACGAGAAGCAATCCTGTGTCTTCCCCTGCTACCTTTTGCCATTTCTGATATTCCAACAGAACCTGGAATTTAAACTGCCAAAATGTTATCAAGGAAGCTCTGCATTAAGGGATCTACAGACATTATTAGGTTGTCAAACTACAAATGCATTCATATATTTTTCACTTAAAAGCTTACAGAAAATAGACACTGGATTTAAAATTTATTCAAAATAAAATAAAATAAAAGTTTAGTCATTGCAAATGTTGTGTGTAAAATTCCACAATGCTTGTGAGTGATCAGAAACAAGGGGTTAAAAATGATGACCAATTCAATATTCATCCTCCAGGAAAAAACCAAGGGGAAGGTGCAGACAGAATAGAAGGTCAAGCTAACAAGCCAAACAAGAATAAACCGAAGAACATTGTACAACACATTCCACAAAACGTGTATTTATTCATTATCTGCAGTGAACCCAAACCCATTGTAAGAACATGTAATAAGCTGTCTTCAATTTAAAAAAAAAAAAAATATATATATATATATATATATGCACATATATACTAGAACGGGAAACAGTACAAGATAACAGGGAAAATCTATCCTCCTGCAATGCCTACAAATTAAATTAGTTCCCTAATTTAATCTAAAATTCAATTCAATATAAAAAGTGATCTCACCCTCACATCCATTGTGCAAACCACTTATGACCAAGTGCAGTGCATAAATTTATTGCACCAGCATTCTTTTATTTCTACTCACTAACCAATTCAATCAGTGCCTAAGCAGCATACATTGAGCGGGGGAGGGGGGGAGGAAGAAACCATGTACACTGCGTCACTGCCTAAAATTCATCCTTCCACCCCTCAACTTATCCAACTGACTGATCAGCTATTTCAAAAATATAAACACATACATAATAGATATGTCATCTTTTGGATACATAGTCATTTGAACCACTCATGAAACAATTCCAAAACAGTAGCTGAAATATCCAGTATACTCAGTTATGCAATGAAGAAATGATTGGTATACATAGGTACTTATTATGAGTGTCTATCTATATATATCTGCTTAAAATTAACACATATAGAACATTAAAACTCACATGGCACAAACAGACATACATATGTACAAAACATCAAATAATAATAATAATAGTAATAGTAATAAACAAAATAACTCTAAAATCACAACATTTAATTAAGCTCCAATGACGACACTTACAAGTTTTCTACAGCACATCAAACTAAGGTGGCATTTGCTTAAGGGATTATTTTTATATTCCTTGCAATGTTGAGATGGGGTATACAATGTTCCCGTGTTTAATTCACAGTTTGAAAAAACAACCCACCTAAAACTTATTCCCTTGCATATTTTTTTAGCATTAGTCCCACCAAATCTTACCCATGGCAGCATGTAGGTTTAATTTATTCCCATCAGAACAATTAAAACCTTACCAAATGAGTAATGGACAGTAGGAGGGAAGAGGGAAAATTTTTTCTTGTAATATTCCTTGAAATAGGTTTTTAAACTGTATAAGAAAGCTAAACCTGTGTATGACAGAATTCCAGGAATTTCATTCTAGGTGATTTTATTCCCAGGAATGAAAAATCATTCCCTGAAATAAATGTCCCCTTAATAGATATTATAAAAACACACACAACACAACTATAACAATGTGGATGCTCTTCCAAGGGTTAAAGACTAATTGCTAGTTCTTTTCAGGACTAGGACCAGATAAAAGGTTTCAAATCACTGATTGCACTATGTAAAGGGGCCACAATATCTCTGTTGCAGTGGCCACTGAAACCAAATCAGACCAATATTGCGGTTAGCAATGGCCGCATCCACCCAAAAGTAACACTGCAACCACAATTGACCAGAGATATATTATTGAGGAAAAAAAAAACAAAACTTGCCATTTGTTAAACAGAGTATCAGAGCCACACGATGAACCCCCGTCCCCCAACAAAAAAAAATTAAAAGGGGAAAAAAAAACACAAGTCCACGACTCATGCAGGGGTAGTACCTTGATGAAAAACCATGCAACACCACCAAGATCAATCCAGTCTCATGACAGGAAAAATGAATGGCAAAGTCATTTCACCAGTCAGTTGCAGCACAACCATTGCAATGAGACAGAAACTCAGATTGGAGGAGAACAGTGTAAAAAATTGATAGTAGTCAGAATATCAGATAAAAGTGGAATAAAGATGTGAAGCAGCCAAAAAGGTTTGGGTTGGGGTTCTTGATATTTAGTGGAAGACAGATTTTTCCCT